CATTTGCCAAACCCCTTCTTCTTCTTCCTCCTCCTTCGTACCCTCTTGTATGAAATCCGCCAATGCCTGTGCCTTTATCGCCCTCCTTGGCTCATATGCTATCGTGTATTCACTCAACTCGACCGCCCATTTGACTAGTCAACCTGATACCGAAGGTCGACCTAACGTCTCTCCCATTGGCATATTCGTTCTCACCTTCACCTTATGGCCTAGAAAGTACGGCCGCAACTTTCTTACTGTTACTACCACCACTAAAGCACACTTCTCGATCTCCGAATATCTCCTTTCTGCCCCTTGCATCACTTTACTCACATAATAAATTGGAAATTGCACTGCGCCTTCTTCCCTCAACAGAACCGAGCTTACCGACATTTCTCCGATAGATATATACAACACTAAGTCCTCCCCCGAAATTGGTTTAGCTAATAGAGGCAAGTTAGCTAACACCTCTTGTAACTCCTCGAATGCTCTCTGGGCCTCCTCCATCCATTGGAATTTTGAGCTCTTTCTCAACGTTCGAAACAAGGGCCCACTCTTTTCCGCCACCTTGGACATGAAACGACTCAAACCCGCTATCCTGCCCGTCAAAATCTGCATCTCCTTCACTTTTGTGGGTGGCTTCATCTCGATCACCGCTTTCACCTTCTCTGGGTTGACCTCGATCCCTCTCTTCGTTACCATGTACCCCAGGAAATTCCCCGACTTCACCCCAAAAGAACACTTAGCGGGGTTCAGCTTCATGCCATATCTCCGCAACGTCAAGAACGTCTCCTTCAAGTCATTCACGTGATCGGCCTCCACCTTACTCTTCACCAGCATATCATCGACATACACCTTCATGTTCCTCCCCAGCTGCTCCTTAAAGATCTTGTCGACCAACCGCTGATACGTTGCCCCTGCATTCTTTAAACCGAAAGGCATCACCACATAACAATAGGTGCCTCTGCTCGTAACAAAACTCACCCTCTTCCTATCCTCTCGAGCTAAAGGGATTTGGTGATACCCCTGGGATGCATCCATAAGACTGAGCAACTCACAACCTGCGGTAGAATCGACCAACTATCGATCCTGGGCAAAGGATACAAGTCTTTCGGACACGTCTTGTTTAAGTCACGAAAATCAATACACATCTTCCACTTTTGCCCAGACTTAGACACCATCACCGTGTTCGACAACCATTCAGGGAACTGAATCTCCTTAACGTGGCCCGCCTTCAACAACTTCTCAACCTCCTGCTCGATCACTTTGTCCATTTCCGCGCCGTGGTGTCGCCTTTTTTGTTTCACTGGCCTCACTGTTAAGTCGACATTCAAACGATGTTCTATCACCTCCGCCTTTATCCCTGTCAACTCCTCCGCCGTGTACGCAAAAACATCCGCGAACTCTCTGATCAACCCAATCAATTTCGACCTTAGTGGCTCCTCAATCTCCTTACCTATCCGAAATTTTCTCTCTTCGCATCCTTCTACCATCTGGACCTCCTCAATCTCCCCTCCTGGCTGCATCTCCACCTTCTCCTTCCCCTTATCAGCTCTCTCCTTCTCTTCTCTTGACCTCGAGCCTCCGGGTCGGCTCAATACTCCCTCTTCAAGCTTCGCTCGCTTCCTCGAGAGCTGCTTATTATTGCTCACCGTGGTCTGATAGCAACTCCTCGAGGTAAGCTGATCTCCTGTGACCTCCCCAACGTTTTCCCCCACCGGATATTTGATCGTCATGTGGTACGTCGACACGACCGCCTGGAAAGCATTTAAGCTGGTCCTTCCCATGATAATGTTGTATGAGGACTCTGCTCCAACGACCACAAACCTTACCATTCGCACCTTCCTCGTCACCCCTTGCCCCAAGGCAATGGAAAGGCTCACCTCTCCCATCGGCATTACTTCGCCTCCGTTGAATCCGTATAGGGCTGTGGTCACCGGCTTCAAGTCGAGGTTGAGCTCCTTGTTTATCTACACAAAACAATCATAAAACATCACATCCACCGAGCTCCCCGTATCGATAAACACCCTCTTCACATTGAAACCAGCCACCTCTGTCGTTATCACCAGTGCATCATTGTGGGGCAATACTACTCCCTCTGCATCCTCCGCTCGAAAACTTATCTCCGACATCCGAGCAGTGATCCCCACCTCCTCTCTCTTCCTCTTCATCGCTCGAACATGGCCTTTCCTTGCATTGTTTGAGTCCCCATCAGTCGGGCCCCCCGAGATCATATAAATCGTTCCTCTCTTTACTGGACCTTGATCCTCCTGACCTCCTCGATCTTGGCTCCCTCGTCTCCTCTTGCTTCCTCGATCACCCCTTCCTCCCCGGGGATCGCCTTCCTCATCATCATCTCGATCACTCCGCTCCACCGAGTCCTCTCGACACTTTCCTTATCCTTCCCCTTCGCCTTTCCTTCGTACACGAACTCCTTAAGATACCCGACCCTGATAAGGCGCTCGATCTCATCCTTGAGGTGCCTGCACTTCTCCGTTTTGTGCCCATAATCTTTATGAAAACAGCAATACTTGCTCGACCTAGGCTGTGTCGGCCCCTCAGGCCTCGACTTCGGCCACGTCACATCCCTATCCTCTATCTTCTTCTCAATTGCCCCCAACACCTCTCCCGTTTTCGCATTAAGGGGCGTAAAGTGTTGGAACCGCTTCCCCCCAAATACCGGCCGATCCTTCCACCTGTCTTCTCGCCCACGGTCGATCCTACCACGCCCCTCTCTTCTGGGCGATCTTCTTCCCGGGGATGCTCTTCGAGGCGAGCTTACCCTTCCTTTCTTCGGCTCTGGCTTAGCCAACTCTTCCAACTTAGCAAACTCGGCCTCCGTTTCCTCCAATTAATATACTTCTTACAACTTTTTAGCACATCGTCATACGTACGAGCAGGGGTTTTGGCTAAAGATGTTCGACAAGGCCCTGCTCGCAAACTCCGTATCAACCCCCCAGCCTTCACCTCGTCCGAGGCCGTGGGGATCTCCAAACAAGTTTGATTGTATCGCGCAACATACTTGCGTAATGATTCTTTCTCCCCTTGTCTCATGGCCATCAACGTCAAATACGTCTTTTCCTGTGCCACCGCACTTGCATACCGGGTCATCAGCTTTTCCGCGAAATCATCAAAGTACTTGATCGATCCATGAGGGAGCTGCTGAAACCAGTCGAGCGCACCGACAAGAATGCCCTGCAGCTAACCGAGTCAGAATAACCATGCAACACAGCCAAATTCTCAAACGCCCTTACATGCCTCGACGGGTCAGTGGTCCCATCGAACATCAAACTCATGTCTCTGAAATTCGCAGGTAATGATGCAACCAATATATCCCTCGAGAACGGATGTCCTCGAGCACGTCTTTCAGGTCGACCATCCATCTTAGCCTGCATCTGCCTCACCTGTTCCGCGAGCCTCTCCACCTCACGATCTCTTAAGTCTCCATCTCCTCCATAGCTAGACACGTCCTCATCCACCATTATTGGTCCAACAGCCACTCACGAAAGGCTTTGAGTGACCTGCTGAACCGCTTGTGCCGCGCGTTCGCCACCATCTGCTGCATCTCCTGCCTAGTAATCACCACCTGCTGGCCAGGACGCGGTTCCTGTTGGGATCTGTGAGGATCTCGTTATGTACAAATCACGAATTCAATAGCAAACGTAAACCTATGCGCAGCGGATCTAAAGGTTTGACGTAGAGAACTTACGGCTTAAAATTTATGTAGATCTGGTTGACCACGAACGGTTAACCGCAATTGATTGACCGCAAATCACGTCTTGGGTTGCGCGAACAAGATCAGATCAAAACTGGATCAAACGGATGCAAACAGATCAAAACGAAATTTTGCTGCCTGGCACATTCCGGCGGCGCGTTGGGGCGCGTGCAGCGTCGGATTCCGGCAACGTCGGCGGCGATGGAAAGCTCTCGTCGAGACAGTCGTCTAGGTATACTGTACGTCTCAATCGGACTTACGGTTAGTTCTGTAGGTCAAAATCTATTTCATCTCGGTTTACCTACAGATCTTTTACTGTATTACTCAATACACCCTTCTTCAACTTGTACCAGTGGAGCAACAAGAAGAAGATAAAGCTCGAATGAGATCTAGAGAGAGAGAGATGTGGCGGCGTTATTCACGTGTGAATAGGATTGGGATTCTCTTCTCATGAGCTTAATGATGTATATATAGAGCTACAGTAGGGATCCTAAGGAGATTAGGAAAAGGGCTCCTTAATTAATTAGACTAATTGTGGGCCAAAACCCACTCCTCTAATTAATTAAATAATATTAATGGGCCACCAACATTATATTATTGCACTCCCTTTTCCTAGCCCAAATTACATTTGAGACTCCAATAATAATTACTCAATTTACCTCCCCACGTTTAAGATATAATGTCCATTAATTAATTCGATTACTGACAATCAAGAATTAATTAATTTATTATTATTTCACCGAAGCTAGCGCTCGTTCATCACATTCTTATTATGCCGGAATTTAATCCACCTTCATTTTCAAATTTTGAATGCTATATAAAAAGATATCCGGGTATATTCTTTCAATGAAAAATTCCAAAAAAAGGGGTAATTTACAAATTCTTCGAGCATTTTGTCTTTTTAATACTTTCCATTTTTCGAATATTTGAACATTCAAATTTGTTTTTTTAACACTACTAAGATTATTTATTCTTGGAGTTCCTTTTTCGTTCTCTTTTGAGATTCTTTCTATTTGAATTTGATTTCGAATTGTATTTGTTTGATCAGTCGAATCCTTCATTTTTTTTAGCAATAAAGAATTTATCGAAGATTCAATTTGATTAAACGATTCGTGAGTTATCTGATTGTTGATTAGGGAAGCCTTTTTTTCTTTCAATTTGCTCAATTCAACTTTTTTAAATTTTTTTATTTTGAAAACTTTTCTTAATCGAAATAATATTGGTTTTAAAAGTGGTTTTATTTTTCTTTTGAAAATTCTTAGAGCTAGAAAATACGGCTTTTTCGAAATTTTTTTCCATTTTTTTTCTAATATGGGAAAAATGGGTCGAAAAAAGGAATAGTTTCTTCGGGGCCAACCAAAAGGAAAGTCGGTTTCCTTTCCATAAACTGTTAAATAACAAATATTTTCTTTGTCCTGGCGCTGTAATCCTGTGTTCCAAGGTCGCAAACGGAAAGGCATAATTATTTGTATCTGAATACCGTCATACAAAGAAGATAGGAAAAGTCTCTCATCTTCGAATGGAAGACCGAAAAAACTACACAAAACATATTGCTCCTTTTGGAATTCCTCGAAATCCTCATACAACTCAGAAGGTTGAAATAGGAGTAAACGTACAAAATTTTTCGCAATTATGAGTAAAGGTACTCCATACATTCTAAAAAGACATTGAAAACATAACAAGCCGCTTCTTATTAGCATTCCATGTGGAATGAAATCCCAGGAGTCTACTATATCCATTCGCCTGTCCTCCGTGGTCGTTTCCGTTTCTCCTACTTCTGCCTCTATCTCCTCAATCTCTTCGTGTTCGCTCTTCTCCTTACGTTTACCCCAAATTTTTTCAATTATCTTTTCCCTTTTCGCCTTTGCCTTCGACAAAATTTCACTCCATTTTAAGTCGGAGAGTTCTTCATAAAGTATAGTGAAGATACCTCCAGTAACCACAGAAAACAAACTTCTTGAGTTGTAGGGAAAAAAAAGAGGGGTATTTGGGTCTTTGTAATATAGTGTTAAAGTTGCCACTTTACGTCTGAGAGTTCGCAGAGAACCTTTGATTATATCTTGCTCCCAGTCGTGTCGCCTTATATAGCGTAGAAAATATAGTTCCTCTGGCTCTTGATTATTGGTAGAACCAGAAGCCTTAGCACTGTCGCGCGTATCAAATTCTACGTCACACACAGCTTTTCTTGTACGAATATCAGAAGTTTCGCGCTTCTTCTCGTCATCGGTCTCGCCCGGTATTGCAAGTTCTAAGTCGTCAAATAATCTGTATAACCACCAAAAGACTTTTTTCCTGAGTTCTTTTATTCTAATTCTAGTAGATTTGATGAGATTTTTTTGATCAATAACATCAGTTGCAACTTTTTTTAGATATTTTCCAAGAAGGATACGATAAATTCGATTCGTTCCAAAATTTTCTGCGGATTTGTCTACCAGAAGTTTTTTTTGGATTTTGGCAGAAAATGTTTTCTTAAATATGCTATTTTGTTCATTTTTTGATTTGTCGATTGTTTTCCGAGATGATCCACTCAGGAAAGGATCATATTTTTTTGCAAGGTATTCTTTTGTATAAGGGTTTTTACATAACCGAGTCCTTGTTTCGAGCATATTCAAAGGTCTAGATTTTTCGTCTAGGCCTTTAATTCGATATAGCAAATCGTCGGTGAAACCTTTCCTTTTTAGATGATACCGCCAAGGGTTGTAGGGTGAAGCTTTTTTGCCCGATATCCTTTTTTTTATCATTTCCAAAAAAATGGATAAACTGGGTGTAGATGTAAAAGAGATTCTTTCGTTTTCATCACTTTTACATATGTCAAAAAAATATTGTGAGATTTCGGTTCTGACAGCCTCTTTTACGTATCGAATCGGTCGACCCGGCCGATTTGGGTCGAAAAAAAAACTGATAAGAATTTCTTCAAAAGAAATCCTATTTTTCGGTTTTTGATTCTTTTTGAATCTTGAATTGTCTGCTCTTTCTATTTCTACATCTCTTTCTTCCCCCTCTTTCCACCATTCTATTTCTCTCCTAGCCTTTTCTCCGTACGTTGCGGTCTTCTCTTTGGCTTCTGTGAATTTAAAAGCAATAGGTGACGGCATTTTGTTTAAATAGTAGCAACAGGTTATAACTAAGATAAGACTAACGTACTGAGACCTAAATTCTAGGTAGTCTGCTAAATCTACGTATTCAAATACAAGGTACTTATACCTATTCTCTCGAATAATCCTTCGAATAGAAGGATTTTTCTGCATCCAGACTAATACCAATCCAAGCCATTTCGTGAATAAAATGTGACCAATTAACCAACCAACAAAACTACTTATTACAAATAACATCTTGTTGTTGCACCGAAACATATCAATGTTGACTAATCTGGCTAACATTGAACCCGCGAAAAGGCAATGGTTGAATAATTGAAAAATGAGATGATTCAGGAATACACATTGAATGCTGAACATCGTAGTTTCGGTAACTATCTCATAAGTCCAATACCAAGT